AGATTCATAAAATTGTCATTTTTTTGTATACCTACATACCTATTAAGCGACAGCACATTAGGCACAGAATCCGCACCCGCAGAATCGCTAAAATCAAGTGGCAGTGGGCGGGGCACATAGCTCGAAGAGCTGATGGCCGCTGGGGCAGGAAAGTTCTTGAGTGGCGACCACGAGCTGGAAGACGTAGCGTCGACCAGTCACTGCATCCCAGAAAGACAAATTTAAATCTCAAATATCTAATAAGGTCCCACTTTTGCATTACTTTAACTGTAGTATAAATATTTTATATGAGCAATTATTTGAATTAATTAAAAATGAGTTCAATAAAATTTTTCCTAAGAAAACAATTATTATTAAAAACAATAAAACTAAATTCAGTGACTGGGCTACAGTAGGTATTTATATTAGTAGGAAAAAAATGTTTGAATTATATGGTAGAAAAGCCTATAGTAGCGACCCGGACTTTATAAAATATGTAAAAAAATACTCAAAAGTTTTTAAACAAGTTTGTACTATGGCAAAATNCTAGTTCTAGGGAGGGGACTGCACCGTGCGTATATTTATACGAACCAATTGTAGCCACTTTTCACTCCTCATCATTCAAAAACTACTGTGCATTAACTCTTCAAATTTGGCTCATGTATTGAGACTTGCAAGATATACATCAGCTTTAAATTTCATAAATATACCTCAAACGGTTATTTAGGTATTGACGTTCAAAAATCGACATTTAGAACACTAAAATCTATCTATCACCTGTGAAATGTTAAAATTTATTGGTTTTTTATTTGTTCCTTTGTATTTACATAACTACCTTTCTGGATGCCAAATTTGAACCTTCGAGGTCATCTGGAAGTGGTTAGAATTTGGTATATAGGTCAGACATGTAGATTTTTAGACGTCAATACCTAAAGAACCGTTTGAGGCATATTAATGAAATTTGAAGCTGATGTATATCTTGCAAGTCTCAACACATGAGCCAAATTTGAAGTGTTAATGCACAGTAGTTTTTGAGTGATGAGGAGTCAATAGTGGCTCAAAGTGGTTCGTCTAAATATACGCACGATGCAGTCCCCTCCCTGGAACTAGGCTTAACATGCTCCCGCATGTCTAGAATGATTGCTCAATGTTGATTTAGTCGATTTTCTCCTGATGGGAACACGTAAGACAAAAATAAAATTTCCAATATTACAGACCTTCTAGAGCAGATGCCGCGAAAACTATACAATTTATCAAAAAAGTTGACTATCTCACCTGTAGCAAATTGAATATGCTTTTTTTGGTTCATAGTAGTCATGTCACTAGGACGCATAGTTTCCGAGGATTAAGCGAAAAACCGAAAAGTGGCACCTTTCAACCCCCCTCTCCCCGCCGGCTCAATGGCTAAGGACGGGGACTTTTGCTATGTTCACCTCCTAACTAGTCTAAATAAAGTCCTGAAGTCAGAAATTGTGTTCTACAGTTTTCCATCTATAATGCTTTATTGACTGGACTACAAAGGAAGCGTCGCAAACGTGTAATTTCTGTTTCAAACAACAACGTTGGAGGGAAAGCGCCGTCATTAGCTTTTTAAATTCATTATAACGTTTTGGAAAATGGCCAGTCATTCTTTTTGCATTTGAAACGTAGCCGTGGCAGTGTCATTTACGTTTATTTGGTTTGTTCTACCATTTTATTTATTAGAAGCTGAAATCTTTTCCTGTTTTGATGATATCTAAATAATCGGTACATGTTTAGATTCATAAAATTGTCATTTTTTTGTATACCTACATATTAAGCGACAGCACATTAGGCACAATATTTTTGTTGCAAAAATGCTATAGTCTTTCTGGTTGTGTTTTCAGTGCTTAAGTAGTTATGAAAAAGTCGAAAGCTAAAACATTAACAAAATCTTCATTGATAATTTCGGTTTATTCGAGAGAGATAAATCAAATGAATCTATATATATATAAAAATGAAACCCGTTTCGCGTTGTCACGGCATCACGTGTGAACGGCTGAACCGATTTCGATAATTCTTTTTTTTAAATGTTTGTGGAAGTCCAAGGATGGTTCTTACGGAAAAAAATATTAAGAAAATCTCTACGCTAAGGCGGTACAAAGTTCGCCGGGTCAGCTAGTTATTAATAATTACTGTAATGGCAAGCTTGCTCCCAAAATGCGTTTTTGCAAGCGGTTAGTAAACAGGGACCAACGTTCAGACGCCATCTGTTGTTACATCATGGGAACTGTATTCATAATTATTATTTCAAATACGAAGCTACAGCCGACCCCGAATTAATTTAATGTAATTTTCTGACGCCAGGCCAGCTGAAATGGCAACATTTTGCGTCCTTTTTTATTTCGTAACGTAGGTAGGTACTATGACATAGTACTCATACTTATTACTTTACCGACGAAAAGCGGGATTATGCCTCTTTTATTTACCATTTCAGTTTATTTTGCGGCAATCGTCAAGCGGACGGGCGTAGAAGTTATTCGTGCATGGGGCCGGTAGTTTGTTTAATCCGGTCGTCACGTCTGGTACTAAAATCCGGTAGTGACATAAACTTGGGACTTTTTTTGTGACAAACGAACCATGCACCGTGCTTTCATAAATTTTAGGAGTTTTCAGAAGCGTGAAAATACGCTGGGTAAGCGCTGTAGCTAGTTCCAAAGATTTGACATTCATTGCCTCACGCCACGTAAAGCTACAAAAGTTTAAAAGACAAAACGATAGTCGATACCTCTGTATATAGAAAGCGACTGAAACGTTCTTTTTACTCTTTTGATGTGGAATTTATTATCCACTCATCTCTTTTCTTTTTCATGATTATTTATTTTCATTTGTAATATTTTACAAAATTGATTTAATACGACATTTCTAGTCATTCTAAGTTTTTTGCAAGATGATTTAATTACATTGAGAAAAAATATTTTAGAAACCCTTGAAATTATCCTCAGCAAATGTAATTCAATGGGTCCCAACAAGTCCATTTTGTCCACGGCCGAGTTTACTCTGTTTCTTTTAACGGCTCTTTCAAGAAAAACTTCACGAAATACATATAAGCTGTGACGGCTTTGGAAAAGTTTCCAGAGAAATCTTCATTTAGGCTTATTTGTATAGAACAGTCAACGGTAATAAAGTTAAAATGGATTTTATTTTAATGGAAATAGAGTCATTTATTAATGTTTGGTTATTGTGTAACTTAATACGATTGAAAGCGACTACTAACTTTTTCTTAGGTAAACTTGTTAACAGTTAAGTATTTTAAGTACATTAGATAAACTATTCTAGTACTTACACTAAAGTCTCGAGCATTATTTCCCTCACGTAGCGCTGTAAATAAGACACTATAGTAAAACTTACGCCCGTGTTCATAAACATTACTATGAGGTCTCACAGTGCGCGTGGACGCACAGGGTGACACATGAACCAATCACAGAGCTCTATTAAACGCTGTGCGTTCGATTTGCTGCTTCACTTAAGCAAGCATCGTTTGTGAATACGGGCGTTACTAACACAATCACGACTAAGTATAATATTTTTATGTGTAGTGGTGGCAGGGAAACGATCGGTGTGAACTGTGGTTGGCGCCATCGATCGACAAGGTTGTCAAAACTTATAAAATATCATATTAGTACTTGCATAAAAAACAATTGAAAGGTGCACAACAAAAAGAAAGAAGAAAGTTTTTGTCAATAGTTAATTATGCAATTATTAATGTTATTTGTAAATCTTTTTGATGACAAAATCATGACATGAACATAACATAATTCATTGAGACTTTTTGTTGAGTTTACCAAAAACAGATAATAATATTGTTTTGAAATGCATCCTCCAAATGTACATACTTTACGTATTCTTAATCTAATACTCGAAACTCTTTAATTTTAAGACAGGCAGTAAAATTATCCAAACTTAAGTCTACAATAATACATCTAAGATAATACTGTGAAAATTACATTACATTGGACACCCAAGAGAAATGAGGACACAAATGGCAACCCTACTCGTAATCAAACTACGTCATGCGAACGTTCTAAGTGTCTAGTGCGAACACGAGTACAGTTCATAAAACCGACTCAGACATTCAGCACATTAGCGAATGTTTTCTGAGAGTTTGTCTGAGATAATAGCTGAAACCGTGAAACTGTTGGCGCCCTCTGACTCGAATATAATCGTAGTTTCAATTCACCACATGCCATTTTATACAGAGATATTAAACTAAGTCATAGTTTAACAGACATAAAGTATTATAAGTGGCAATATTAATATCTAGCTGAATTACCTTTTTATTTGAGCTGAAAGTTCTTTACGGAGTAGTTTTATGTTCATAAGAAGTAGTTTTATTATTATCACTGTCAAAGGCAACAATGTTGTTTGAAAACAAATTATATTTTACATTTTAGTTCATAATAATGTTCCGAAGAGCAGAGAGCGCCAGCTTCTTATCTAACTTCACGGCTTGAACACTGATTTACCTTTTTACGAGAGACTTAGTTAACTCGTAACTCTGCTGCTGCCAGCATATTCCTTCACTTAACAACTCTAAAATAAGAATAATATATATCTTGCAGAAAATATATTCTGCTCTCGTCGAAATTTGGATTTCGCCGACAAATTCATACATTTATCCGAACAGAATCCGTTTTAAATCAGTGTTCGATCAGCTAGCGATAACAGATTGCGTTAAAACAGTTTCTTTATTCACTGGGTACATGCTAAATGTTTGCAGCGGGCGTCGAAGAGAGAAAAGTTTTAAAAGTTAAATACACTTAGTTGCAGTTTGTATTCTTCCTATCGACATGTTTAAATTGAAAGCGTTTTTCTGAATAATTCTCTGCAACTAAGTGTATTTAGAATAAAATGGAGTGTGTGTTCAGAAATGTGTACTAGTCGAAGGGGTATAATTATCTACGTACAATGGGTCTAATGGGGGTAAAAATGTATATTAAGTATTGATGATTTTACATGGATTTTGGTACTAGGGTCATGCTTAGTGTTAAATCGGCGCTTACTTTCTGACTGCGTTGTTAGACCTGGGAAATACATAATACAGTTAGCTCTATATACTGGGTAAAGGTTATAGGGGGTTTCAGGGGTCGTAATACGAGATAGTTAGCATAATTTAGCGGGTAGTAGCTAGTATACAATGTAAATAGTACACTTCGTATAATTCCTGAAAATAAGAGATGTGACGTTTTCGTGCTTTGAGAACAACTTTTATCGAGACTCATATAAAAATTTCCATTTCAATATCGTAAGAATGATGTGAATGGAAAACCATGGTCGGAAACAGAGTAGACATTTTTCAGAAACAATACACAACCTTTGTGTTTTGAGTTTACACTGACCCTATACTGTACGTACTTTACCCTTTATTTATAGTATTATAATTAACTTAGACACTAAATCCTACAATTATAACAATAGCTATCCCATACCTAAAAGCCATTACCTTTATATAAACTTCTTCGTATACCCTTAAGATAACATTATGTGTAAAAACCAGTCTGATTCAAGTAAAGGGAGAAGACTCATATATTTATTAGGCACATTCGTCAGAGTAGTCCGGCAACCGCGCACAACGGGATAAAATATATCGAGGATATGCGCACGATCAATCAACGGCCGCGGTCTGCCATGTATGGCATGATAATGAAAAGGAAATGATATAGATTAATTAAGGGGATTATTGCTTGTTTTTTGCATTGGGTGAAAGTAAATAATAGTTTTTGTAGTTGAAAGCCCTAAATTTTTGTTTCTTGGCAATTTCTATAGGTGCTCGAAGTATGTAATGCCTAAAAATAATGAAAATAACGTAGTACTAACTACTGTATAGCTCCAAGTAAGAACAGTGGGTCTAGACAAAGTGCAAATTATTATCGCAAACCAGTCGAAAAGTGGTCGAAAAGCCCCTTTTTTATATGGATTTTGACGGATTCGATTTTCGATTCCATCAAAAAGTGCGTTTTGTCTAGGGGGGCAGGTGTATTACACAGTAAGGCTTGGTTGCACCATCTTACTTTAACTTTGGCAAACGTCAAAAATCTGTCAAACTCTATACAAAAAGCACCGGTTATCGTCATATTTACTGTCAAAGTAAGATGGTGCAACCCACCCTAAGTATCTGTATTGCGATAGTACCAACGCATCCCTGAAAAAAATGGCTTTTCAGAAATTCAAACCTAATCCGTTCTCTGATGAAGTATAGGTACATACATAGCACTGAAAACTTTGAAATGAGGTAGTTGTTGGAATATAAGGCTGGGCTTTCGTAGGTACCTGATGAGGTTTGACTCTAGATTTTATTATTTGAACGATGACTGATTTAATCATATTAAGAAAGTTATGCTACCTTGACGTCGCCCTGAAAATGTAGCAATAAAAATATATAACAGAAAAAATATAAAGTCTTATTTTTACATCCGACCCTTAATTTCACGCCCCATGGAAATATTAGCTGCAGAAAAGGAACAGCGAAGTTTTGATAAGAATTCATATTTGTCCCTGGGGCATCGTTCCACATGAGGCACTGCAATTTGGCTGCTTCAAATAAGCTGAAGATAAACCCAAGATGCTTTCACGTGAGATTTGTAATCATAGATACTGCTAACTCCGACTTAGACATATGTAAAACTCAATTATAGGTGCCTGTCTAGAGTCTGGGTTTGAGAAAAATACCTTCATTTCTTACTTAAATTTTGGCTTAAAATTCAGTTTACCAGATGACATTGTACCAGGAATACCTATAGCTTGAGCCATTTTCATTTACATACTTGGTAGTCTCAGATTATAATGTGTTTTTTTTGGTTTGGTTTGGTTTTGGTGTTAGTATTTTACGAAAATGACCAAAACATTTATAATAAAAATTCGAACGTCCCTCTACTTAAAATAATGACCAATGTTATTTCCCTGATTTTTGTAGAGCTACTCTACAATCTTTTTAAAGTAAGGTAATTTTAGCATTACATGAAGATTAGAGAAGATTCAATTCTTCTGACATACCTACGATTATCACTGCTGCCGATCATAGGCTTCCCCCAACTGCCGTTACATTGCGTCAGCAGAGTTCAGAGGTTATTGAAATCAGTCAAATAGCGTAGTGTACATTAATAAAGCGATATCTCACGCAAAACCACGAGCCAGCACGAGTCAATCCAAAATGACGGGTCATCCAAATTCGCCCGTTGTGTGACTTTAAACATTTTGCGAACGACACGGAGGAATTAATGGCGGGCACTCGCTGTAATTATCGTATTTCACGGTTAATGTTTATGTGCTGTACGGTACAGGTACAGCCTGTACCTGCGGATGTGCTGAAATGTGTCATCTGCGTTACGGTAAATGCCTGGAGTTATTTGTTACGAGCCACGGCAGGGGAATTGTATAATATAAGGCTGGTTTTAGAGTCACGCTGACGCTCGCTGACCGTCAGCGCTGACAGCCGAAATGTATGAAGCGTCGGCGCCGAGCGATCAGCGTCACTTAGGAACGTTCCCTTCAATTACATACATATTGATTTGTCAGCGCCGACGATCAGCGAGCGGTCAGCGCGATTCTAACCCGCCTAAAGGTTCGGCCAAACCCACGCGTGCAGCCTACGTGCGCGATGGCGATCGGATGTCGTGTATGAATTTGTAGCGATGAGTTCACAACAACGCGTCCTGTCATTGGTCGCGGCGATCTATGCACGCGTAGTGATCGCCATCGCCGACGCGAGCTGCACGCGTTGGTTTGGCCGAAGCTTAAGTTGGCAACTGTTACAAAATCTGTAGTCGGCTAGTAATTTCAATTCTTTGTTTTTTAATAAAAAGTTTTAATTACATTGTTCTTTATACAATACAAAAGAACCTTAAAAGATAGTGGAAAGTAGAGTAAGAACACTCGTTTCGCAATAGTTAAAACATAATACTTATTTCAAAGAAAAAATATTCAAATAGCGTCTGTCGTCTAAGGAAGTCTGAAGTAAAGATAAAATGATTGAAAGAGTCTAATATTTAGTGATTTCTAAATGGGCCGGCGGGCCGCCTTGAGTTGACGGGTTCTCTGTAAATAACTGTATTATCAAAGCAATATGTCAAAAGTCCTCTCTTGTAGGGCCCACTTTTGTAGGCCAGCGCGCTTTAGGGTTGCCAGTTTATAATTTAATCAAATCGTCAAGGCTAAATATTTATAATTTGTAGTGATTGTAGTGTAAGTTAAAATGATCGACAAACCCGGTAATGCTTACCAGACTACAACGCTAACGGTTCGTTCGTTCGTTTCAGCCGAAAGACGTCCACTGCTGGACAAAGGCCTTCCCCAAGGATTTCCACAAAGACCGGTCCTGCGCCGTTCGCATCCAGGCGCCTTCCGTGACCTTCACCAGATCGTCGGTCCACCTAGTGGGAGGCCTGCTTACGCTACGTCTTCAACGCTAACGGCAGGTTGATCAAATCCCATAGGACAAAAGCTACTGTGATGAGCACAAGTACTTATTTTATTTAAAGTTGTGGCTTTTAAGACTTCTTTCTACTAAAGTAGTACTAGTTTAAAGCAGAAATTTTATTTGATGGTTTGCCCTAATTTCTTGTAAATAAAAGCTTCGCTGAGTTTTCTGGTGGTTGACATCCCTGGCCTGACTTATCGCATTTTGCCTTCGTAAATCCATTTTCGTTTTCTTTGTAATCCTCAGATTTACGAGAAGTAAAGGCGTTTAATATATGAAGGGCACATAGAGATGTGGGCACGAGTTGTGAACACCATGATTTAGGAGGTCCGGCGACAGGAGCCTTTTGTAGTTAGACGGTTTGACTACATCCATCATTTTTGACTTACTGGTCACGTTGATTAGCAATAAAATTGATGTCTGGAAAAATGTACATACGAGACAATGATTTAGCTTTTAGACTTTGAGACATGAAGACTAGCAGTTATTCATAATAAGGATGATGACTGGGTAATGAAATTGAAATTCTATTTAGTCATCAGACAGATAATAAAAAAATTTTGAACACATATTTTTTAATTTTTTTCATAATCGAATAATTACAGTATTATATTGAGTTGAAATTTCGCGTGACGTCACTTTTGAGTCAAAAGTCTACTCAAGCGTGACGTAACGCGCCATTTCAACTCGATGTATCACTGTTATCTATTAATTATGAAAGAAAATAAGAAATATGAGTCTAATATTTTCTAATTATGTCTGACGGACAAATAATTGAAATTTTGTCATCTAGCCTATTTAGGACAATCAACAAGACAGACACAAATACAAGCAAAGAGGTTTACATTTCTTACTTATTACGACCTATGAACTCATGAATTTGTTACTTTATTTTGCAATTAACGATGCTCTAAAACCAACTTCAAACGACTAGCATCTATTAACTTTATTACTCTCAATGACGAGTGCACGATAAAATAGTAAAACCCTTCACATACAAAATAGCTTTCGTTTTTACGGTTCCCACAATAGTCAGGGCACGCCCACCATTCGTTTCACCATAGCAATTCCTTGAAGCCAAGAGTCACAAACAATCAAACTAAAGCCATAACTTCTGACAAGTAAAATAATAAACAATTTCGGTAACGTATAAAACAAGTAATATAAGTAAACGAAGCTTGAACTGAAACGGGAACGGTCAAAATGTTCATATTTCTGTAAACAGAGGAAACGGGAATTTTCCGCTGAGTTAACACAATGTAATTCACGTTTCAACGTTTCGTTACTAAAAGAGCAGTAGCATTTCAATCATATTCAAACGTCCTTAATACGTATTTTGAGTCGTGATATACCTACTTAATTAACAAAAAGTATTTTTCTCTAAAGAATCTTAATTAATTTACTTAATTATGTTGCTCTTAACAACGTCAAAGCTATTATTGACTTTGTAATCAGTATCTATTTGTATTTAATAAGCTCTATAGAACAATTTAACAATAAAACTTTATTTTAATTATTTTAATTTGTGATATCATCTTAATTTTTAAAGGTCTATGGCTTATTTTTGCGCACCATTATGTCTATTAAGCTTTGCAGTTAACTGTGTGT